AGAAATGGAAGCAACCTAAGTGTCCATCAATAGATGAATGGATAAAGAAGATGTGGTACATATACACAATGGAATATTATTCAGCCATAAGAGGAAAACAAATACTACCAGTGAAATAAGCCAGGCAGAGAAAGACAAGTACCAAATGATTTCACTCATATGTGGAGTATAAGAACAAAGGAAAAACTGAAGGAACAAAACATCAGCAGAATCACAGAACCCAAGAATGGACTAACAGTTACCAAAGGGAAAAGGACTGGGGAGGATGGGTGGGAAGGGAGGGAGAAGGGGTGGGGAGAAGAAAGGGGGCCTTACTATTAGCATTTATAATGTGGGGTGGGGGGGGCACAGGGAGGGCTGTGCAACACAGAGAAGACAAGTAGTGATTACAGCATCTCACTACGCTGATGGACAGTGATTAATGGGGTATGTGGGGGGGACTTGGTGAAGGGGGGAGTCTAGTAAACATAATGTTCCTCATGTAATTGTAGATTAATGATACCAAAAAAAATGGCAAGATAAAGTGCTTTTCAAAAACAGACTGATAACTGCATCTTTACAAGGAATTACTTAAGGGCAGAAATATCCTCTCCTTTCTACTTAGAAGACTCTGTCACCATCAATCACAGTCACTGACTGGTAATGACTGAAAAGACCCATGTTTCTCACTGAGCTCTGGACCTACTAAGACCACATGAAGATAGCGGCTCCTTTCCCTGTGGCTGCACCTGCCTGTGGCCATGCCTGGGCACTGCCCTCTCCTCTGGACCCTCGCCAGTGGGCAGTTTTGCCCTGGATGATGCCCCTCTGCTTGGGCTGGCCCATTTCTGGGCAGGTCTTCAGGCATCCCAGCTGGGCAGGGGCTCAGTGTCGAGGCAAGGCTTTGGTGTGCAGTGGGTATGTCCCTGCAGGCACGTGCCCTCTCTGGCTCTCCAGGGTGACACCACCTGACTGTTCCTGCCACAATGTCTCTGCATATACAGAGCCCAGAGAGCTGGACTTCAGAGCCAGTGATCCTTTCAAGGCCCCAGTTCTTCAGAGGACCTGCCCCCTCTGAAGTCCACCAGGACCTGGAGGGGAAGAGCATGAAACAGCCCATGGGGACAGACATGACCTCATGCTACTAGGCAAGGCAGAGGGATTCCCAGGTTAACCCCATTTATTTTGATATGAGACTGGCAGTTTCAAGCACGGACCAACAGATCTCCCAAGGGCATACTACCACCCTCCTCCTAGCACAGCTAACAGCTTAAATAATAGTAGGTAATCATCAATTTTTTTACTGTGGTGAAAAACTTGTCACATAAAATTACCACCTGAACCATTCCTAAGGGTCCAGGTGAGGAGCATCACGCACATTCACACTGTCATACAGCCACCACCACCATCCACCGAAAAGCACTCTTCCATCTTCCCAGAGCGAAACTGTCCCCATTAAACCCTAACTCCCCATTGTCCCTCTCCCTGCCCCGCACCCACTGTTCTACTTTCTGACTCAATAGGCTTCATTACTTTAGGTACCTGAATGGAATCGGACAGTATTTGTCTTTTGTGATTTGGTTTATTACACTGTACATAACGCCCTCAAGCTTTATCCACATTGTAGGTGCCAGAATTTCCTTCCTTTTCAAGACTCGTTAATATTCCACTGAGTGGACAGACCTGTGTGTGTTCATCTGCTGATGGAGACTTGGGCTGCTTTGACCTCCTGGCATTGTGAATAATGCTGCTGTGAACATAGTGTGCAAATATTTTTGTGAGATCCAGCTTTCAATTATTTTGGACATATGTACCTAGAAGTGAGACTGCCAGATCATACAGTAATTCCATTTTAATTTTTTGAGGAACAATTATTATTCCTTAAATTTTATTGTTGATCAATGTACCACTGGGCAGTACATGTATATTAAAAAGAGGTACTAGCTCTGCACTTCCCAGAAAAGCTTCTGGTAGGGACAAGGCCCTTTCAGCCTTCAGGAGAGAATATTTCCCTGATATGACTTAGGTGGATCACATAAAACATGTTTCAGGAAGTTATGTTTGTTTATTCTGGGGTATTGTATGCATAATCTTCACCCCAAAATATGAAAGCCAAATGTAGATAAGTTAATATGCTTCAAATAATTAAGTACTTAGAGAGTATGCATTTAAATCTGAGATCTAAAAGTATTATGGAAAAACTGTATAGAAAGAATGTTAACAAAAAAATAGGTTCATTATATTTACATAAAAATGTCTGTACCAATGACAAAGACACAAAGAATACAATCTTGTGAATATTGGCTCACTTGTGCTAAACGTATGGAGTTATTAGTGTAATTTGCAAAGTTTCAGTGCTTTCTTACAGAGTAGGTTAAACTACTACTTACAAAAAGAAAAGGTAGCCTCATTAAAAAATAAATTAGAATAGCACTAAAAACTAAACCCACCCAGAAGGAAACATTAAGCTGAGCATCCAGTCTTGTACCATTCCAGGAAAAATAATAGTAACAATGTTGCTAATAAAGCTTTCAGGAGTGAACATGGAAAGTGAGGAAGAATAGGAAAATGCCAGAATACATGGGACAGTTTTATACACCACCTCAATTAGCCTGGAAACGTAATATTTCAAGTAGATGCTGATTTCTGCTGTATTTCTGTTATGTTCACTCATGAAGAGTGTTTTGTTATTTATAACCAGTACCAAGAGCTTAGGAACCCCAAACAGGTATCATTAAATGTCTCAGAAAAGTAAAGCTCTGACAAGCAGACTCGTCTCATCACATAAAATACATCCTTACAGTCTTTTTCTCTCAAACACTGTGTCAGCACAGGAATTATCTATCATATTAGGATACAAAGAACTGGCCTAAAAGGAGCTATTTTCATATCATAATAACTGAAGAACATAAACATTATAACTCTGATAATACTGAGATAATCAAAACAAAATATAATATGCAATAAAACTACCAGAGATGCCACTGAGAACTCCTTCCTCTTAGTTCTTATGCCTCTAATAATTAATTTATCGGGCTAGATGGCAATTCTCACATGTCTGCTCCCTCTAAGTAGGAGACCTAGAGGACAATGACCATATTCTCTCTCTATTCCTTGAATGCAGCATGCTGCCTTTCCACAACTACTGTTAACAAATAAGCGCCCTCCATGATGGAAGAAATGTGGAGATGGCACGGAAATTAGGTGTATTTCCAGGTTCCCTTACATGGAGAGAACTCTACTGAGGTGCCAGCTTCTTTGAAGGACAGTTAAAATCGTAATTTTAGACTCTTTAAGTTAAATATGCATGTTGTAACCAATACAAAATTAAGAAACAGCATCTAAAATCCAAACTAGTATATGGGAAAAACTAAAGAAAAAAAAAAATCAAGAATCCAAAAGGCTAGAAAAAAAGCAAAAAAGAATTGAAATAGGCAGGGAAAAGTAAAATAGGTACATAAAACCCCAAACATCTGGTAGTAAATGGTATATGTTCCATGTTGTGTCCAACATAGATTAATAAAATTTTAACAGTAAGTTATTTACAAGAGATGTAAACCAGAGAAAATTATGACAGAGATAAATCAGGGAAACTAACCAAAAGAAAGTTAGTATAATTATTAATATCAGTAAAACCTAACGTTATCCTGATTAATGCTCTTAATCTTAAAGACAGCCCCTTCATATTGATGAAAGGTTCAAATTACAGGAAGTTCTATCAATTCTCAGTTTGTATCCATGACACGACAGGGCACCAAAATATAAAGCAAAAATTACTAGAATTTTAAGGAAAAAATCCATAGAGCACATTTTACTATGCCTCTCAGTAACTGATACAAAACGGACTCAAGCCCCTTCTATCCCCACCCTTCCAAATCAGGACACAGACTTGAATTAACTCATAAATTTGACCCAAAAGACATACAGATACCCTGTATAGAACACCAGAACACACATCCCCCACCCCCAGCCCACAGCATCTACAGATACACAACACATGGACCTGGGGTGAAGACGGATATAGCTGGAACAGAGCTGCAAACGACCTAGAGTCAACACGTATGAGAAGAGAGAACCATTTTGTTCTTATCGTATTAGCCGCAGAGATCTGGAGAGTTACTACAAAGTAATTCAGTGAAAGCTAATACATCAAGTTTCTTAATTTTTCTTTAGAATTAACTACCTCTGACAATGAGAGAGATACTGGAATCACATTTAGGAATTAACAAAAACTCCCGAAGTTTACTGCTGTCTTTCAATTTTACCAGCTGAAAATACTGTCTGAACTAATTGGGGATTTATTTTGTCGTGCCCCCACTTTTCTGTGCACAGTCAAAGACGTTTTAATATTCTGAAAACTGACAGTACAGTAATCAAAACCAGCTTAAAAAAAGATATTTACAGGAAATTTACACATAACATTTTTACATAAAAATTGCACAATCCTTCCAAATATAAATCTCAATAAAAAATACTATCATACTAGAAAATCAGGCTATTCATTTTACATTAAGAAGTAAGTCATCTAATTACTTAAAAATATAAATGTTATTACACACACTTACTATTTTTAGAGGTTGACATGTTATGGGTATGACGTAAGGAAGGAAGGAGTTTCTTGAGCTCCCTTATGCGGTAAGTGTTTCAAATGCCTAGTTGAAGTGAAGACCTCAAATTGTCAGGAAGGGCAAACTTTGACCCCACCTCTGGCTCTGTGGTATACTTGACATACATTTTCTTAATTTCCATGACCCTTTTTAATCATATGTAAAGTGTGGACAAAAATGATTAAATGTGGAAATGCCATGCAAATGGCTTAGCATTGCGATGGAGTATGAAAGACTTATATAGGCATCAGCTAATACTATTATCAAAAGTAATCAACTAATACATCATACAATTCTTAACATGGAGGACAGACATGAGAGCTGCTCATTCCTCATCCAGCACTTCCGTCTGTCAAAAAACCCTTGGGTATAACATTTCAAATGCCTGACCTTGAATTTCTACTGAAAACTTACCAAGTCACAGAACTCAAACACCAGAAGATAGGGAATTGCTTCTACACACTGTCCAATGCACTGGAGAATATTCGGATGCTGAAGAATACTGGTAAAAATAAAGTCACAGCACTGTTCATTAGGGAGGCATGTGTGTGAAATTGTTCAAGCAGTAACCCAAATTCTAACATTCATAATGACTTCAATATGACAGACCGAAAATAGCACATTAAGATTGTCTATAACAGATGTATTCTAAGTTATCTAATGATCAAATAAATCAAAGCCAATCAGACATTTTCAACAAATTAAAATAGAACTCCTAATGTAAGCATCTTTAAGTTTAATAATTAAACTTATAGATACCACTTTGAAGCAGCATTTAAAAGAAGGCAGACTATAAATACAAATTCAATAAGCTTTCAATCCACACATTAAATAATTCAGTTACTCCTCAGGCTACCAACCTTATATACTATTTCCATAAATTTCTATAGTACATGCCAACTCTTCTTGAAAATATTTTGTCCAAAATAAAGCTTAAAAAAAAGATATGCCAACATAGTTTTTTTTAAATCATGAATTAATACAACAGTAAGTTACAAAGACAGGACAGAAGTCCCATGTTCCCCTCCCCAGTCTCCCCCACTGGTTACATATGACATGTGCCAATGCAGGACTAAAACCAGGGATCTGCCACTGGGACACAGTGTGTGCATGTGCTTCAATGTCCCACTACCACACGTGTAGACTCACGCAACTGCCACCTCAACAGAAACACACAACTGCTTCATCACCACCAAGATTCCCCCTCCCCCCATTTAGTCACACCCACCTCCTTGCCCCTCTCCTCCCTCCCCAAGACCTGGCAACCACTAATCTGCTTTGTTACCATAATATTCTCATTTTGAGAGTATTATATAAATGGAATCATATGGTAGGTGGCCTTTTCAGATTGACTCACTCAACACAATGCCCTTGAGTTACCCAAGTTGTTGCATGTTATCTATAGTTCATTTCTTTCTACTGCCAAGTATTCCACAGGGCAAATGTACAAAAGTTGGGCCCTCTCATCTGTGGTTCCACTGTCTGTGGTTTCAGTTACCCGAGGTCCAAGCAGATGATCCTCCCAATGAATAAGAAGGTCGGTAGTGGCCTAATGCTGTCAGTTGACATCATTCACCTCAGTTCATCTCATCATGTGGGCATTTTATCATCTCTCTTCATGTCACACCATCACAGAAAGGGTGAGTATAGTACAAGGAGAAATTCTGAGAGGAGACCAATCACATTCCCATAACTTTTATTACTGTATGTTATTATAACTGTTCTATTATTGTTAATCCCTTACTGTGATAAACCTTATCATAGATATGTATATATAGGAAAAAACAGTTTACACAGAGTTTGGTATGATCTGCAGTTTCAGGCATCTGCTGACATCCACGGGGATCTTGAAATATGTGCCCCTAGGATAAAGGGGGACTACTGTACCACAGTTTGTTTAACCATTCGCCTCCTGGTGGGTATTACAGTTTTTCCAACTTTGGACTATTACAGATAAAGCTCCCAAGACCACGTATGGGTTTCTGTGTGGAAATAAGTTTTCATTTCTCTGACATAAATGATCAGGAGTATGATAGCTGAGTTACAGGATGTGATGGCTAATTTTGTGTCAGTTTGGCTGGGCCAAAGTGCCCACATATTTGGTCAAATACTATACTGGATGTTTCTGTGAAGGTATTTTTAGATGAAATTTTCATTTACATCACTGGACTTTCAGTAAAGCAGATTGTGCTCCAGTAAAGTAAACTGTGCTCCATAATGTGGACAGCCTTCATCCAATCAGCTGAAGACCTACTAGGACAAAGACTGATAACTTTCCTCAGTGAAGAAGGAATTCTGCCAACAAGGGCCTTGGACTTGAAGAGAAACAGCAGCTCTTCCCTGCATTTCCTGCCTGCTGGTCCGCCTTGCAGATTTTGCATTTGCTGGTCTCCAATTCTACCTACAGATTCTATTGGTTCTGCTTCTCTAGAAGACCCTGACTAACACCTATGGTAAGTGTACGTTTAGTTTTTTAACAGACTGCCAAACTGGTATCAGAGTGGCTGTACCATTTTATGAGCCTGCTAGCAATATAAGAGATCTAGCTTCTCCACGTTCTCATCAACACCTAGTAGTGTCACAAGTCTAATGCTTGCAGAGTGATATCTTATCATGATCGTAATTACCTATGGTTAGTGATGCTGAATATCTTTTCATGTAGTTACCCACTACCCATATAGTCTCTTTCATTACATGCTTCAATGTCTTTGGATTACTTTACTTTTGTTTTTTATTTACTGTTGAGTTCTGAGAACTCTTTACAAATCCTAGGTGTGAGTCCTATGTCAAGACATGCGGCTTGCAAATACTCTGTCCCAGTCCATAGCTTGTCTTTTCATCCTCTAAGCAGGGCCTCTCACAGAGCAAATATTTTTTAATTTTGATGATACCAACTTATCCATTTAAAAAAACAGATTATGTTTTTGCTGTTGGGTCTATAAAACTCTTTTATCAAGCCAAGGACCCAAGACTTTGTTATATTCTGTAAGTTTTATGGATCCATATTTTACTTTTAAATCTATGATCCACAGAATTAATCTGTATGTAAGACAGGAGGTTTGGAAGAGTCTCACTTCAAACCCAAAGACATACACAGATTAAAAGTGAAGGAATGGAAAAAGATATTTCATGCAAACAATAGGGAGAAAAAAGCAGGTGTTGCAGTACTTGTATCAGACAAAATAGACTTCAAAACAAAGAAAGCAACAAGAGACAAAGAAGGGCATTACATAATGATAAGGGGGTCAAACCAACAAGAAGATATAACCATTATAAATATCTATGCACCCAACACAGGAGCACCTACATATGAGAAACAAATACTAACAGAATTAAAGGGGCAAATAGAATGCAATGCATTCATTTTAGGAGACTTCAACACAACACTCACGCCAAAGGACAGATCAACCAGACAGAAAATAAGTAAGGACACAGAGGCACTGAACAACACATTAGAACAGATGGACCTAACAGACATCTATAGAACATTCCACACCAAAGCAGCAGGATACACATTCTTCTCAAGTGCACATGGAACATTTTCCAGAATAGACCACATACTAGACCACAAAAAGAGCCTCAATAAATTCAAAAGACTGAAATTGTACCAACCAACTTCTCAGATCACAAAAGTATAAAACTAGAAATAAATTATACAAAGAAAGCAAAAAGGCTCACAAACACATGGAGGCTTAACAACATGTTCCTAAATAATCAATGGATCAATGACCAAATTAAAATAGAGATAAAGCAATATATGGAGACAAATGAAAACAACAGCACAATGCCCCAACTTCTGTGGGATGCAGCAAAGGCAGTTCTAAGAGGAAAGTATACAGCAATCTGGGTCTATTTAAAGAAGGAAGAAAAATCCCAAATGAATAGTCTAAATTCACAATATTGAAACTGGAAAAAGAAGAACAAATGAGGGAGGCCCAAAGTCAGCAGAAGGAGGGATAAAATAAAGATCAGAGAAGAAATAAATAAAATTGAGAAGAATAAAACAATAGAAAAAATTAATGAAACTAAGAGCTGGTTCTTTGAGAAAATAACCAAAATAGATAAACCCTTGGCCAGACTTATCAAGAAAAAAAGAGAATCCACACATAAACAGAATCAGAAATGAGAAAGGCAAAATCACTATGGATACCACAGAAATACGAAGAATTATTAGAGAATACTATGAAAAATTATATGCTAACAAACTGGATAACCTAGAAGAAATGGACAACTTTCTAGAAAAATACAACCTACAAAGGCTTACCCAGAAAGAAACAGAAAATCTAAACAGACCAATTACCAGCAATGAAATTGAACCGGTAATCAAAAACCTACCTAAGAACAAAACCCCTAGACCAGACGGCTTCACCACTGAATTTTATCAAACATGTAGTGAAGACCTAATACCCATCTTCCTTAAAGTTTTCCAAAGAGTAGAAGAAGAGGGAATACTTCCAAACTCATTCTATGAGGCCAGCATCACTCTAATACCAAAACCAGTCAAAGACACCACAAAAAAAGAAAATTACAGACCAATATCCTAGATGAACATAGATGTAAAAATACTCAACAAAATATTAGCAAACAGAATTCAAAAATACATCAAAAAGATCATCCATCATGATCAAGTACAATTTATTCCAGGGATGCAAGGATGGTACAACATTCAAAAATCCATCAACATCATTCACCACATCAACAAAAAGGACAAAAACCACATGATCATCTCCATAGATGCTGAAAAAGCATTTGACAAAATTCAACATCCATTCATGATAAAAACTCTTAACAAAATGGGTATAGAGGGCAAGTACCTCAATGTAATAAAGGCCATATATGACAAACCCACAGCAAACATTATACTTAACAGCGAGAAGCTGAAAGCTTTTCCTTTAAGATCGGGAACAAGACAAGGATGCCCACTCTCCCCACTTCTATTTAACATAGTACTGGAGGTCCTACCCACAGCAATCAGACAACACAAAGAAATAAAAGGCATCCCAGATTGGCAAGGAAGAAGTTAAACTGTCCCTGTTTGCAGATGACATGATATTGTACGTAAAAAACCCTAAAGACTCCACTCCAAAACTACTATATCTAATATCTGAATTTAGCAAAGTTGCAGGGATATAAAATTAATATGCAGAAATCTGTGGCATCCTTATATACTAACAATGAATTAGCAGAGAGAGAAAGCAGGAAAACAATTCAATTCACAGTTGCATCAAAAAAAATTAAATACCTAGGAATAAACCTAACCAAGGAAGTGAAAGACCTATACTCTGAAAACTCATGAGACACTCATGAGAGAAATTAAAGAAGATACCAATAAATGGAAACACATCCCGTGCTCATGGATAGGAAGAATACTGTCAAAATGGTCATCCTGCCTAAAGCAATCTACAGATTCAATGCAATTCCTATCAAAATATCAACAGGTACATATACACAATGGCATATTATTCAGCCATAAGAGGAAAACAAATCTGACCATTTGCAACAACATGGATGGAGCCAGAGGGTTTTATGATCAATGAAATTAGCCAGGCCGAGAAAGACAAGTGCCAAATGATTTCCCTCATTTGTGGAGGACAACAATGAAGCAAAACTGAAGGAACAAAATAGCAGCAGACTGAGAGACTCCAAGAAGGGACTAGTGGTTACCAAAGGGGATGGGTGGGGGAGGGTGGGTGAGGAGGGAGGGAGAAGGGGATTGAGTAGTAGTATGTTTAGTACACATGATGTGGGGGATCACGGGAAAACAGTAGCACAGAGAAGGCAAATAGTGAATCTGTGGCATCTTACTACACTGATGGACAGTGCCTGCCTTGGGCTATGGGTGGGGACTTGATAATATGGGTAAATGTAGTAACCATATTGTTTTTTCATGTGAAACCTTCATAAGAGCGTATATCAATAATAATTTAATAAAAAATTTTTCAAAAATGTTCTGGAGAATTTTCCAGCAAAACTGTCTAAGCCTGGGGCTTCTTTTTGAGAGTTTTTTAAGTTGCAAATTCCATTTAATACTATGGTTCTGTTCAAATAATCTATTTCATTCATATTGGGTGAGCTGTGGTGGTTTGTGTGTTTTGAGGAATCAGTTCATTTCATGTAAGGTGTCAAATATACATATAGCGGTGTTTGTCCTTTACTATCCTTCTGTAGGGTCTACAGTGACTCCCTCTATCACCCTGTTATTGGTACCCTGCGTCTTTCTCTATCAGCCTTGCTAGAGGTTTGCCAGTTTTATTATCTTTCTAAAGAGCCAGCTTTATGTTTCATTGACTTTATCTATTGTTTTTGTTTTCCATTTTATTGGTATCTGCTCTTACTCTAATATTTATTTCCTTCCATTTGCTTTAAGTTCATTTTTCCCTTCCTTTTCTAGTTTCTTAAGGTATGAACTTACATTACTATTTGAGACTTCTCCTCTTTTCTCAAGTAACCCCCAACAAAGGAAAGGTGTTTCTTTCTCCCTGCTTTCAAGGCATTCCGTAGTTCTTCAGTTTTCAGAAGTTTGACTATGGTGCATCTCGGCAGGGACATCTCTGCTTTATCCTGTTTGAGGTTTGGTCAGCTTGAAATCTGTAGGTTTGTCTTTTTCAAATTTGGAAGATTTTTAGCTAATATTTCTTCAAATATTTTTTCAGACCTAGCTTTTTAAAAATCTATTCTCATCCACAAAGTCTGTGACATTAATGTTGGCTCTTTTGTTACGGTCCCCCATGTCACTGAGGCTCTGTTTTTTTTTTTAAGTTGACTTTCTCTTTGTTGTTCAAACCAGGCAATAGCTACTGTCTTATATTCATCTTCACGGATTCTTTCCTCTGTCCTCTCCATTCTGCTGTTGAGCACATCCATTGAGGTTTTTTTTATTTCAGCTGTGATATTTTTCAGTTGTCAAATTTCCATTTAAGTCTTCTTTATGTCTTCTATTTCTTTGCTGAGATTCTTTTCTCATTTGTTACAAGGGTGCTATAATTTAATTGCTCCCTGAAGCATTTTTATGACGGTTGCTTTAAAATCCTTGTCAGACAGATAATCCTCACATCTCTATCCTCTTGGTGTCAGTACCTGTTGTCTTTCCTTATTTGAGGTGAGTTCTCTTGCTTCTTGGAATGATGAGTGATTTTGATTGAAACCTGGACATTCTGGGTCTTATGAGACTCTGGATCTTATTTAAATTGTGTATTTCGCAAGCAGAAATCCCAAGTAATTTTAAACACCTTATTTTCAACAAACCACAGACTATATTCACATAATACATACTAAGGTTTACTTACTAGTAAGGTTCTCCATTTTTCAAAAAAGTGTCTTGTTCCTTTGGGCTTGCACTTGCTTTTAACTCCTTCACTATCACTCTCGCCACACTAGTGCCTGTATAAATCTCTCCAAGGAGGACCTAAAACCAAAGAACAGTTTTCATTTCACTTCCACCAAAATGGGAAAGAAGAGTGCCTATACAGGAAAATTAATTAAGCAACAGGAAGATGGCCTTTTATTATTTTAAATACTACTGCACAAAAAGCTTAGAAAACTGAAATATTTTCCTTCAGGTTTAAACTATCAGATATTTACAACATTCATGATACGTATTTCTCTTCTACTTACTTAAAAAAATGTATTATACTCTCATGGAAATTACTGACATTACAGAAGAGCTCAAACCAACTCAAGTGCTTCTCAAAAACACTTCAGCTGAGTTTTGTTTTTTTTGCCTCTTTAACATTTGAGGAAGTCAACTGACCAACAGCCAACTTACGAACCATCACAGCAGGGTAACTTTAAAAGCCCATGGCACCCCAATTATTCTAGGCCTTTATCTTGTACTAAAACTTCAGTTAAAACACAGGGAAAATAAATTTCATTAAAACACAAAATGAATGAAAATAAGACCAAGATACAAGTGAAATATTAGATATAAGATCAGACATTGAAAAGGTATTCCAAAATACAGTATTTAAAATGAAAATGATGAAGTAAAAGTTTTTATTTGAGAATGATCAAAACTAAAAGGCTTACTTTTAACACAGCTTTTTATATTTTTGTAAAATAGATTAATTTTAATGCCCTGGAAGTAGAGAGTAAGAACTTGAACAGAATTCTATGTGTTTATTAGGAATGTAGGGCAGAAAAATGAACAGAACAAGACACTCTGATAATTAATTCATTTTCTTGGTTTCAAATAACCCACTTGTACTTATTTATTAAGCCTAAACTCATATATCAATTCCAAAAAAAGGAGTATTTTTTAAAATATAAATAACAAAAAAAGAATAACTAGCAGACTATTGTAACACTATTTCCACCATTACCTTTATCATCCTTAAGTGTTCAACCTGAAGGGATAATTCATTCAATACCGTGAAGTCTCAATTCTTTGACCTCAAGTCCAGTATCTATAACCCCAACTCAGTAAACATTCCCATGGATCTTGACCTAGCTAATTATATTTATATTTAAATCCCTGAATTTTAACAACTTCTCTACCAGTTCTTTGACTGCTAGCTCACTTACTTCACCATCTAATCCAACAAGTGCACAGCTTGTCCTCCCAATCTCTTAAATGATACCACTAGCACCCCATCCTGCCTCACAAAGGGCCTCTCTGCCTCCCTGACAGCTCAGACCCCACGCCCCTTCAAGGGCATCATCCCTTTGCCCCTCTTGCTGAGGTATAGTAGCTCAGCCCAGTGCTGCTCAAATTCAACAACCTCCCTACAATAAAGAACACCAAAAGTAGACAAAAATACACAACCGCAATGATTAGCCTCATTTTAAATTTGTGCAGGTCCTTGGCACTGCCTCTCATCCCCCTGCATTTCCAAGTTGACATGCTTCCCAGAGGACTTTCACACCTTCTCCTCCTATCCAAACTTCCAAGGCATGTTTTTAATCCTTAAAAAACTAGTGTCCTGTGTACCAATTAAAATAATGATAAGTAAACGATTCATTTCAACACCAAATCCATCTGCACCTACATCCACACCCTCTAGATTTGCTCCCATTACAAGAGAGAGACTGTCTCTGCTCCTGAATTCTACAGAAGTGCTATGGATCCCTCCTACAATTACCCTAACTTCTCTCTCTCTCCTGCATTATCAGTTTCTCCCCTTCTAATGTAAACATGCTGAAATAGCTGTGTATCCTACAAAAAAAAAAAAAAATCAAAAAAACTTTCCCTTGGCCCTTGGCAAGGTCTCAAACAGCTCGTACTCCATATCTCTGCTCCCTTTTGGAATAAAACTCCTCCAGTTTTCTAAATGCTGTCTCCAACTTCTCCACACGAGGCTGTGACCTTAAGCAGCCTCTCATGGGGATACCATGAACCTCACGTTGTTGGGCCCTCTTCCTCCCCAGTCCGTCAGCAGCATTAACTACAATTCACCTTCTTGCAACTCCTCCTTCACTGACTTTCAGAACGCTCCTCTGGCATCTCCCTCTGCTCACTGCGGACTCTTCTCAGTTCCCTGTGCTGGTTCTCCCTGACTGCGCTAGCCCTCCAAGCTACAGACCCTCAACGCAGTCCTTGTGCCTGCCCTTCTCTCCATGCACATGCTCCATGAGTTCATCTAGTCTCATGCCTTTAAACACCATCTATATACTGAGTTCTTCTAAATTCCTATCTCTGGCCAGAAACCTCTCTCTTGAGCTCTAGATTTGCATTTCCAACTGCCCACTTAATATCTCAATTTGCATGTCTAAGAGCCACCTCACACCTAACATATGCAAAAGTGAACTCCTGGCTTCCCCCTCCACACATGCTTCTCCTTACTCTTTTCCTGTTTGAGGGAAACTCCACTTTTCTCACCAATTAGACCATAAACAGTCTTCCTTGACTCCCCTCCTTCTCTGGACCCTTTATCTGATCCGTCCCAAGTCCTGTATGCTTTTATTTGAAAATCAGTTTTAAGTCACAAGACTTCTCACCACCCCATGCTATCATCCGGGTTTAAGCCTACCTTACTCTCTCCCTGAATGACTGCAGTAGTGTTCTAACCACTTTCACAGCTCTCCCCGTGGTCCTCTACAACTTATCTGCCAGAGTGATCCTTTTAAAAGGTAAACCAAATTATGTCATTCCCCCTCTCATACTTTCCCATCTCATGCCCAGCCAAAGTTAAAGTCTCTAAATGCATGTACCTCAAATCACCTGGCTCCCCTACAGAGCCTGTCTCCTACTACTGACTGTCTAGTGTCTGATCATCCCCATCCCCACAAGAAACATCAGCTTCGTCAGGTTAAGGGTTCTATCTCGTTTGCTGCTATACTCCCCACAGTCCACAGGCCAGACCCTTTCTTACCCATCTTCCTTCATACTGTACCCCCAGGACCAAGAACAATGTCTGATACATGACAGGTTTTGCTAAATGGCTTACAAGATTTGGTAACAGAGTTTGGACAACATGAGACACACAGAACTGACAAACAACTCTAAATGGAAAGACAAGAAGCATAAGACCTGATTACAGGGCAAACACATCTTCCCTTCTTCACGGCCCTGCTTATGATGCCATCAGCACTCAGCCAGGAACTCTTTACAGAGAATGCCTACTACTTCATGGGAACTGTTGTTATAGTGAGATTATTCCCTCTGAACCATCACTGGTAAGAAGATCAACCAAGTCCTGTTACTACAAGTCACCTGACAGGCTATGAGAAACAACACTTCTTTGCAATGATTGCCATTTTAATAATACTTACTATCTACCTAAATTCTAAAATGGTTTAAGCTACATTAGGGGAAGAGAAGAGGGAGAAGAACAAAACAATGAATAATTAATTTAATCTGAAGAAGGTAAAAATCCTCCTAAAATTTCAGCCTTTTTCCCCTCTTACTGTTCTTATTCCAACAATTGGAAAAGTCTCTCATATATAAATTAAAAACCTCTTGGAAAAACTTAACACACCAAAGGGCGGAAGCTCACATCCCCTGGTGCTTCCAGGGGCAATGGGGAAACTCAACTGGCATGAGAAAGAATGTGGGATGTCACACAGTGTAATTCTTAATTAGCTTTAAATTCTAAACAGTACAGCTGAAAGGGAAAAAGAATGAATGTGAACATTTTACCTTTCCAAACCAGCCATTTCCAATTTCCTGTATATAGTTTAGACTGTGGCGGGCAACTTGAGACTTCAAGCCTTCTGTTGGTAAAAGAACATTAGAAATGTAAATATTTAACTGAAACAAAATAAATGATAAACATATAACCTATAAAGTATAGATGCTAACATAAATTTAATGCTTGTGCTAATAAAGGTAGAATGAAGATATAAAACACCTTTTTTTTCTACATTACAAAAACTGTATTTACTGAAAAAAAAATCTGTGACAAGTGGACCTGCACAGTTCAAACCTGTGCTGTTCAAGAATCGACCCATACTGTTATATCATGTATACAATTTTTTTTATTGGCTAATAAAATATACATGTTTAATGTGTACAACTTATATAGAGATATACATATGAATTATATATATATATATATATATACTTACACAAAGTTTGTGAAATAATGACCACAGATAATTAATACATCCTTTAGCACAGCTGGTACTAATAAAACACCTTTTTTAAACTAACAATGCCAAAACAGTTTCAAGTTTGAAAACTGATAATATTTCTCAGTGAGAATCCTACTTTGATTCTTTAACAACCTTACATTGTTTTTTCTGACCCAACTACTCTATACTGTAAACACTAATCCAGTCCATTGGTTTTTGCTTAGTCATTAATTTTATGTAGAGTAGGGACCTCTGGGAACTACATTTCTTTAGAAACACTGAAAATCTTGTCAATCATACCAGAACTCTGAAAGAGAGTCAAAGATTTACAGCAACCAAAGCAAACCAGGAGAAATGCCACAGAAATGGCAGAATTCTTTTGTGGCTTTTAATTTTAGACCAGCTCTGCTCCCCTTACCTGGTACAACAGCAGTCTCAAAAATGACCCATGTCCCGGTGTGTGTTCCGGTTCCAAAGGAGCAGAGTGGACCTTATTCACAAGGAATTATGTCTCTTTTGACCTGACTGAGGTTTCTCTGAAGGACTGATACCACGCGGCTTCCCCATTTCACCTAACTCAACTCTAGCAGGACTGAGTGGCTACCTATTCCTCAAAAACAATGAATGCCAAATGAACAAGGCTCTGCCACCTGGGTCAAATGACAATAGCTGAGGCAAATAGCAGACACGCTGAAAGCTTCCAGAGAGAAGCTAGGGAATGACACCTGTTTGCGGAACAGGGGCTCTGAAAAGCCACTGCATGTATACAGGAACCTAGAGAGCCACATGCATGCTCAGGGAAGGACACCTGCTCACAATAATTTAAGGAGACTATAAGCTGTCGCCCTGGCTGGTCTTTAAACATGCACCAGCAGGAAGTGAAGGCTAGGGCAGAGCTGTGAAAGGCCTGAGTGAGACATGCCCCACACAGCCCATCTGCAAGGACCTGGAGAGTATTTTTTTCTTTCGTTCTTTTCTTCTCTTTTGCTCATCATTTTATTCAAAATATCTAATTTTCAACAAAATATTAGAAAACATGCAAAGACACAAGATAGTATAGTTCACTCACAGGTACAAAAGAAATTTAAAAGAAAGTGGCCCTGAGAACACACAGACATTGACTGACCTTACTAGACAAGACTTTAGATCAACTACCTTAAATATGCCTTTGAAAGGGACAAAGGAAACCATGGACAAAGACCTAAACGAAATCAAGAGAATGATGTATCAATAAACAGAGAAGACAAAAAGAGACAGAAATTACTACAACAAGGCAAAGAAAATTTTGCAGCTGAAAAGTACAATAACTGAAATTAAAAATTCACAACAGGGTTCAACAACAGATCTGAACAGACAGAAAGTGAACTGAAAATAAGCAAATGAAATTATCCAGCCTGAGGAGCAGAAAGGAAAAAGAATGAAAAAACTAATGAACAAAATCTATGGGACTTGTGGGATACCATCAAATGGACCAACATATCCATAATGAGATTCCAGAGGAACAGGGAGAGAAAAAGGGGCAGAAAGAATATTTGAACACATAATGGTAAAAAAAAAAGTCAAATCTGATTAAAGGACATGAATCTGCACATTTAAGAAGTTAAAGTCCAAGTAAGATAAAGTTGAAGAGATCCACAACAAGATAGATTATAATCAATCTCTCAAAATACAAAGATACATCTTGAGAACAGCAATTTTCATCACATACAAGGGATTTGATAAGATTAACAAACAATTTCTTGATAGGAAGCCATGGAGACCAGAAGCAGTAGGATGACATATATAAAATACTGAAAGAAAAGTACCATCAACCAAGAATTCCACACCTGGAAAAAGCCATCTTCCAAAAATGAAGGTGAAATTAAGACATTCTCAGATCAAAGTTTAGGGAGGTTGGTGTTACTATACTTGCCCTACAAGAAATGTTAAAGAGAATCCTTCAGGGCAAAATATAAGGACACTAAACAGTAACTGTAAGCCATATGAAGAAATAAGTATCTCTGGTAAATATAACTACATAGGCCAATATAAAAACCAGTATTATTGTATTTTTGCTGTGTAGCTCCACTTTTTATTTCTTACATGATTTAAAAGACAAATGCATACAAAATTATAAATCTATGCTAATGGGAGCACAATGCATAAAGATGTAATTTGTGACAACACAAAGGGAAGAGGCTGAGCTGTACTGAAGCAGTTTTTGTATGCTACTGAAACTAAGACGGTGTCAATTCAAACTCAATTGTTGTACTTTTAAGATAATCACTATATGATCACTTAGAAAATATTTAAAATACACATAAAAGTAAATGAGAAGGGAATCAAAATGTTACACACACAAAAATTCCAATGGCCTCTTTTTGCAGAAATGGAAAAACAGATCATAAAATTATATGGAATTGCAAGGGGCTGTGAAAAGCCAAAATAATACTGAAAAAGGAGAAGCTGGAAGACTCTTGCCTCTCAATTTCAAAGCTTACTACAAAGCTACAATAATCAAAACAGTGTGATACAGGCATAAGGACAGACATACAGATCAATGGAGTACAACCGAGAGTCTAGATATAAACCCAAACAAACATGGCTGATTCTCAAAAAGGGGACCCAAGACAACTCAGTAGGGTAAAGAGTAGTCTCTTCAAAACCCATTGTGAGACAACTAGCTATCTATCTGGAAATAATGAACCTAGACTCTTACTTCATACCATATATAAAAGTTAATGAGTCAAAGACCTAAATTTAAAAACTAAAACCTTAAAAATCATAGAAGAGCAAAATCTTCATGACCTTGGATCTGACAATGGTTTCTTAAATATGACACTAAAAACACAAGAAACAAGAGAAAAAAATAGACCTCATCAAAATTACAAACTTTTGTGTATCAAAGGACACTATCAAAAGAGTGAAAAGAATAACCTACAGAATGGGAGAAAATATTTGCAAATCACATATTATGAAGTGATTATAATTAAGACAGTGTGGTACTGGGACAACGAACTGACAAATTAAAGGATGAAATGGAAGAAAGCCTAGAACAGACCCACAAGCATAGAGAACTAAAAAGCAAACAGGTAAGGCAGGACCAGTCAATGAATGGAGCTGGGAAAAAGCCTAGTAATCTACAAGGAAAACTCATGGATTCCCTCCTAGCACCACACTCAAAAATCAACTCAGATGAGCTATGGACTTAACTTTAATGTCAAAGCAAAAAGTAGCTTACTTTGATCACAGAATAGGAAAGGATTTCTTAAGACACAGAAAGCTCTTTAACTCTTAGAAAAAAAAAAACTTAAAAATTTAACTCTAAAAAGATTGCTAAATCTGGCTATATTAGAACTAGGAATCCTGTTATGAAAAAATTCTTTCTGGTGTATTTTTAGTGTATTTTTTATTTCCTCTTCATTTCCTTTCCTGTATATTTCTTAGTTATTTCTTAGCAGTTACCATGGATTACAGTTAGCATCCTAAACTTGTAACAATCTAGCTTAAATTGATATCAACTTAGCTTCAATAGCAAGAGCGTACCATTTGACAGCCAGCTAACAGGAATATAAATCGGCACAACTGCTGAGGGTAAGTTGGCAATATCTATCAGAATTACAAACACACATATTCTTTGACCAACTTTTGAACATTTATCCTACAAATATACCAGCACAGTAACAATGTGTAAACCAAAAGAGGCACAAGCTCTATCTTTAATAGCATATGATTAAAATAAACCAAATACCTATCAATAGGAAACTGGTTAAATAAATTGTGCTAAATCCATATAATTTAAATAGTAAGAACCTGTAAGCAGGAATAAATAACCTTTGTTTATTCATATGGAAAGATCTCTAATGTATGCTGGTGAGTGAAAGGAAGAAAGTGTAGAATAATATATTCACCAAGCCGCCTCCGGAGTCAAGTAAGTGGGGGGAGGGGGCCGTTGCATCGACAAACTCTGGGAAGATGGTAAGAAACCAAGGGAGTGGCTATCTAGGGAAGGGGGGTGGGAGCTGAGGCCAGACTCACAGATTAGAGGAAGGCTTTTCACTATATGTACCTTTTTATGTTCTGGTTTTTGAACCATGTGACTATATTATCTACTCAAAAAATTAAATACATTGTAAAGAAAAAAAAGAAAAAATGTCGTAGAGCTTCCTCTAAACTTGCTTTTGATTATGTGGCATACCTTTCTCACTCGATAAATCCAAGTATCTTTCATATCAAATACAGTCCACCTTCACACTTTCACTGGACCACATAATATTCCATTGTATGAAGTTCCCATAATTTAACAAGTTACATATTGACAGACATATAACCTGTTTCCCTTTTAGACTGCCAAACAATGCTGTAATAGATTCATTTGTAGATATACTTTTGCACACTTACCCGGTTAGTTTTTAAAGACAAATTACTGAAAGTGGAACTGCCAGATCAAGAGCAAACACCTTTTACATTTGATACATCCTGTCAGAGGCATACACACTGCCCTCCAGAAAGCAGGTCCAGTAACAGTGAGTACAGGAGAGGGCTGTTCCCCACACCCCCTCACCAATCATCCCCAGTAGCGTTTCTTTTCATCCTTATTCATCTGTTACCCTCTTACTTTAAGTATGCATTATTTAAGTTAATAATGAAATTCCTATTCATATGGCCACTTGACTTTCTTTTTATGAATTTCTCCTCTCATATTCTTGGCTTATTTTCTTCTATTGGAGTTTTATTCTCTTTCTTACATTTTGTTTGTAATCTTAACATGTAACCCTTTTATTAAAACATTTTTTGTAGTTCACAAATATTTTTGCTACTTTGCTAAATTTGTTAATAGTGTCTGTTTCCTTACAGACTCTTTCTTTTCATGGATCAAATTTGGCAATATTTTTCTTTATGTTTTCTACATTTGGTGTCAAGCTTGGATAGGCCTCTTATACTCCAAGATGATAAAAATATTCTGTGACTCTTCTATGCAGAGAAATTTGAAATGATTTCTTCCTACTAAGAGGGCATTTAGAATACAGAAAAAAACAGAAAGAGAGGTATATAAACACAATTAGGATGGCTGCCCAAGTCACTACCATTTATGCCGTGCCCATGTCTCCTGCGCTCTGGTCTATCCCACTCTATCTGGAGTGGCTCTATCTGTCCCTGCCTTGTGACCTTGTGACCCATGGTGAGGGGTCCACATCAAGGGTTTTCTTTCTAGTCCAAGGAAAGAGAACCTCCTTTCTTTTCTGGTTATAAGGCCACAAGGATTATAAACCTGGAGTTGGCAGCAGCCACCTCCCCACTGGGGAAAGCAGCCAGGCTGCAAGACGAAGCCAATGTGCAAAGAACAGAAAAAACCAAGACTGACGGTAAAGTGCTGAAGGTGTCCAAGCCCTCGGATCTGGCTGTCTCTAAGGTCAGCTTACCCCTTACTCTTCCCATGGCCTGGTTCTATTACCAAAAATTCCCTTTCCTGCTTACGCTGATCTGAGTTAGAATTCTATGACTTGAAATTAATTCATGGGTGTTAAACTCCAGGCCTGTAAAAGCCCTGGAGAAATTTCTCAGAGCTTCCATGAAGTATAAAGGAAAGTATATTATCATGTAACCAAAGATAACATAAAATGTTTCCATTTAGAGGTAAGTATACTTCATTTATCCCCAGGGCATATTAGATTCCTTTTAAAGGCCACTATTTTGAAGAGGTTGAAGTAAGGGTACTGTTACTTTTAGAAATTAAAACTAAATACTATGTATCATTTATTTAATGTTGCAAAAATCTGTGAATGCTAAATATACCTAACTTTATATTTTATATGAAATGCACCAGCTGTGTTGTATTTTATCTTACTTTTTCTTTCAGTCATGCATGCCTACAGCAGTACCATTGACTGTTGGGTTTATCCTGCCCAAAGCACTCCCACTGTCGGCAGGCTTGGCACCTGTGAAGACCTAGCCTTCTCTAGCAGTCTTAGAAATCCCTAATGCCCGAACCACTAATCATACTCTATTTTACAACAAGAAATCAATTAACACCTGATCAAACCTCCACCCTGATGAAAAGTCAATCTGATTAACATATCCAAATACACCCCTCCCCAAAACACAGGACATCCCAGAACACAGCAGTGTCTCACTCAGTGAGGCAACCAGTGTCAAGAAGTTATCTGTCAAAACAGGCCACGCACAGCGCCTGAGAGTCCCACTTCCACACACTGAGATGAGCTGATTTTCAGAGCAGACCGAGGGTCCAGTTCTTGCAGGAATGCAGCGGGCCCAACCACTAGGATTCAGCTTCATGAGGAGCAGAAGGAAGAAAAACATGCAAGCAGAAGAGACAAGCAGTCCGACTCTTCACAATTATCAGCAAGGCTCCCACTCTCACTTCTCGAACTAGTTCATGAAAACATGATGTGAGGACATAAGGTCTTACCTACAGAAGGCTGGAACTGCGATGGAGCTGGTAGTGAAATATTTGGCACTGAAAGTGTGAAAACTTCTGCTGGAGATTGAACAGAGGGAGTATCTTCGGCTGGTGGTGTGAAATCTATCTCATCATCAAAATTATCTTCAAATTCCTAAAATAATAGAGGAGCAATGTTACATCCAATATAAATCAGCTTGACAGCAATAGTAAAAAACATTCACTAACATTTGAGATACAAACACTTATTCTCTCATTTGGGATATGCTGCCATAATTTTTTCCCCATTCATATGTACTTAAAGTAAAATGCATAGGTAATTGTGTTCTCCAACTCCAAAGAACAGAATAAATAAGATTTAAAAATTATACATGTTTATGTAACTGTTTTAACTTACAGCTTGAAGTTAAATGGAAAATTTTCTAAAATGACCATGAAACTTAAAATGGAAATACTCTAAGTTCAGAAATTAACTTTTAAGTTACGAGCCTAAACTATTTTTTTATTATTCCCCTTCACAAATCCTTTTGCACACTAAATCAAACAAACTTATTTCATTTTTAAATTGTATATGCATTTCCAGTTGCAATGGGAGTTCAATCAATTAAAGAGGGTTAAAACTCAGAAAAAAAAAGATATTTGTAAGCAAGTCTTCTTTCTATGGAAAGAATAACAGTGGAAAAGTTACTAAACTGGGTAAAATCATCATCAAGAGCTGAACCATGAAGGTTAGTGTAAGACTGAGTAGCACATAAGTGCAAGTAGCATTCTCAGAACATCTGGTTTTCTAAAGATGGCAACTTAAAAACAGAGGCCGCACCAAGAAAGTGGTGGAAATCTTTCCAGCAACTTTTTTCAGCAGAAAGCTGACTGACTCTTCTATCATCATTTCAGGGAGCTCGGTTTATGCTGGTGTCAGTGTTAACACAGATACAGATGATTAGCAGTCATTCACTTGCTCAGGAAATTAATGAGTATCACCCTCTCAGGTACCAAAACAAGCTGAGAGCAGACCGGTGCACAGTTTCCCATTCCACGGCAGACCTTTTCATCTTCCTAAGTCCCCCACACAAGGAAGGAAAAGTTACATTTCTCTGATAAAACATTTACGGTCTCACATGCATGTGAGAGCATATTATTCTCACTTTTGTCATCTGTGCTGTCAAATGCATTAGGGCACTACTGCTATTTGTAACAGGGGAGGGGTTGCAGAGCAACTGAGGTGCTATAACATCAATCTGTGGGGTACCTCTAAACAGAAGAGTTTATTCAGTTTTCCCTGTGGATGTTTTGAAGGTTCTCTCATTAAAAAGGCCTTTTGCCATCACCCTCACCTTAAAAATAATGCCACTCCAAACTTGGCAGCAGCATACACACAATGAGGCAGTAGATGAGTCTAAAGATTCAGAGAAGTAAGACAGTATAATAAAAAATAATGAGGCTATGGAAGAAGACTGGGTCACTTTTAAAACTATGCCCGTGGCTATGGATGCACATGGGCAAGTCACTTCCTTTCCCAGACCTTAGCTGTTAAATGCACAGTCCTGGTCTGTGAAATGACTCCCAAGGGACCAGTCATCTCTAAAACTGCACAGTTCTCCATCTAAAGGACACAGAAAAAGTAGAGAGTGACACTCTCCTTGGGTCTCAGTACCCAGAGCCAGAGGGGTACTCACCTGCATCACAGTCACCAGGGGGAGCCTCAAAGGAACAGACTCCCCACATTTGCATCATGATACTCTCCCTGAGTCAGGACTGAGATTCAGTCTGGGCAGAATGATCTAAGGCAAGGTGAGGTATCAGGGCATGCGAGAGAGCCCGGATTTCATTTCAGCAACACTGATCAGACTTCATCTTCGTCCACAAATGGCAAGGTTTTTGGGCAAAGTCCCTCAGCAAGGTTGACAGGCAAAGGACGCTGCTTATCACTGACCCCTCCCTCCACAGTGCAGTTATTAAGGTCCCACAGAAGTGCCTGTGGTGACTCTAGGGCTTAGGGGCTGATGTTGAGAAGAAAGCCCTGCATGTTTAAGGTAAAATCTAAAGAGAATGGCCTGTGCTAGGGAGTCTTTTTCTCCAGCCTTCATCTGTTCTCATCCTTCCACGTGCACAGCACTAGCATCAAGCCAAAAGGACAACATACCTCTTATCTCCCAGAGCTGCCACCAGACTCAAGGTAAGAAGAACACACAACAGAAACAGGTGGGAGGTTCTAGAAATGAGGTTTGCGAGTCCACTAAAAAGATGGGTTTAACTAGAAGACAGCTTTCTTTTTTCCCCAATTTGAACCAGTGGCCCTCAGGACCCCTTCGATAGCCCTAGTAGGGCTCTACATTAAGGACCATTTTCTCTGTATGCATTCCTATTGAACGAGTATTCACTGAGTCCTAATACGTGTAAGCAGGCATGCAGTAAGTTCTAGAGCAGGATATCCTAGCTGGATTCCAGCAGACCCCAGGCACCCACAGTCAAAATGCCAGCCCTTTTGACCCCGACCCCCCAACCAGGATTTACAATCTGCAGCATTCTTCCTCCTCCTGGTTAGGGAACTTGGGGTAAGGTAAACTGAAAGATGCTCTTCCTCAGACACAAAACACACTGGGGAATCCCTTGGCCTCAATAATCTTAACCAGAAATTCACCATCATATAAAAGTTTGGGAAGAAAAAAACAAAACAAGCCTGCTTCCCCTTACAGACCTCACAACAACTGAACTCATCCAACGTGCTTTATTCCTCACTTAGCAAAACTTAGAACAGGCAACTGATTCTTATCAGTGATGCTCCAAGGCAGATCAGCAAACACAGTTGCTGGGCCAAATCTAAACCACCTATTTTTGTAAATAAAGTTTTATTGGCACAAAGCTACAACCATCTGCTTGCATGCTGTCTGTGGCTGATGCAACACTACAATGGCAGAGCTGAGTAGCTGAGATAGAGACTGTATGGCCCACAGTATTTACTATTTATGGCAGAATGTAGGATTGTTCGGCTCTTAACAGCAAAAGTTTGCCAACCCCTGCTACCAAAGTGCTGTGATACACAGCCATTCTGTTGACAAATGTATAAGAGGATGATTTTCAATGTTCCTACCATCTGTGCTCACCTTAAAATCTATTTCTGGGTCCTTACAGCAGGATACACAGTTTACAATTAACACTATTAATAACATTAAACTGCCCACAGATAGGATCACAAAAGATGAGGAAACTTCTGCAGCAGGTGCCTCCCCTGGAAAGAGAAATAGTATTAACAACATGGACATTTCAAAATCAACCTGAATAAGCAAATCAATATATTTTCCATCAAATATAATGGGACCGAGAATTAATGAAATAATGCTTAAATGCTCAAGATAAAGCTGATGACCAATCCAGGATATGAAGTCAGATTTTTAAAAACTTATTTTGAAAAATTTAGATTTACAGAAGAAGAGTTGCAGGGACAATATGGTCCCCATATACCCATCACCCAGCTTCCACTAGCATTAACATCTAACCATGCATGGTACATATATCCAGACTAAGGCAACAACATTGGTTCACTGCCACTAACTGAACTTCAGAGTCATTTGGGCTTAACCAGTTTTCCATTAGTATCCTTTTTCTTTTCTAGGATTCAATCCAAGCCACCAATGCTGAATTTAATCCTCAGCCTACTTAGTCTCTTCTAATCTCTGATGTTTCTTAATCTTTCTTTGTGTTTCATAACTTTGACACTTTGGTTATCTGGTGGGCTGTTCCTCAATTTGAGTTGCCTGGTGTCTTCTCATGATTCGGAAAGAAATCATGAGATTTCTAGATATGTGGGAAGAACCTAGAATACCAATGAGGGAACTGTCCTCAGCACATCACATCACAGTCACATGACATCAGCACGACGCAGTCCTGGTGATGTGAACCTTGGCCACTTGGCAGAAGCCAAGTTCACCATCCTGAAGTTACCACCTTTCCCTTTATGTACTCTGTTCCTTAAAAGTGGGTCACACAGTCCAGTGCACACTCAAGGAGAAAGGAATTAAGCTGTGCTTCCTGGAGGGGGAAGTATTATAGAATTTGTAGACATATGCTAAAACTACTATGGTAATTAATATTTGAGAGAGACACTTTGAAGCTATGCAAATATCCTGGACTGATCAAACCTCCACCCTGATGAAAAGTCAATCTGATTAACATATCCAAATACACCCCTCCCCAAAACACAGGACATCCCAGAACACAGCAGTGTCTCACTCAGTGAGGCAACCAGTGTCAAGAAGTTATCTGTCAAAACAGGCCACGCACAGCGCCTGAGAGTCCCACTTCCACACACTGAGATGAGCTGATTTTCAGAGCAGACCGAGGGTCCAGTTCTTGCAGGAATGCAGCGGGCCCAACCACTAGGATTCAGCTTCATGAGGAGCAGAAGGAAGAAAAACATGCAAGCAGAAGAGACAAGCAGTCCGACTCTTCACAATTATCAGCAAGGCTCCCACTCTCACTTCTCGAACTAGTTCATGAAAACATGATGTGAGGACATAAGGTCTTACCTACAGAAGGCTGGAACTGCGATGGAGCTGGTAGTGAAATATTTGGCACTGAAAGTGTGAAAACTTCTGCTGGAGATTGAACAGAGGGAGTATCTTCGGCTGGTGGTGTGAAATCTATCTCATCATCAAAATTATCTTCAAATTCCTAAAATAATAGAGGAGCAATGTTACATCCAATATAAATCAGCTTGACAGCAATAGTAAAAAACATTCACTAACATTTGAGATACAAACACTTATTCTCTCATTTGGGATATGCTGCCATAATTTTTTCCCCATTCATATGTACTTAAAGTAAAATGCATAGGTAATTGTGTTCTCCAACTCCAAAGAACAGAATAAATAAGATTTAAAAATTATACATGTTTATGTAACTGTTTTAACTTACAGCTTGAAGTTAAATGGAAAATTTTCTAAAATGACCATGAAACTTAAAATGGAAATACTCTAAGTTCAGAAATTAACTTTTAAGTTACGAGCCTAAACTATTTTTTTATTATTCCCCTTCACAAATCCTTTTGCACACTAAATCAAACAAACTTATTTCATTTTTAAATTGTATATGCATTTCCAGTTGCAATGGGAGTTCAATCAATTAAAGAGGGTTAAAACTCAGAAAAAAAAAGATATTTGTAAGCAAGTCTTCTTTCTATGGAAAGAATAACAGTGGAAAAGTTACTAAACTGGGTAAAATCATCATCAAGAGCTGAACCATGAAGGTTAGTGTAAGACTGAGTAGCACATAAGTGCAAGTAGCATTCTCAGAACATCTGGTTTTCTAAAGATGGCAACTTAAAAACAGAGGCCGCACCAAGAAAGTGGTGGAAATCTTTCCAGCAACTTTTTTCAGCAGAAAGCTGACTGACTCTTCTATCATCATTTCAGGGAGCTCGGTTTATGCTGGTGTCAGTGTTAACACAGATACAGATGATTAGCAGTCATTCACTTGCTCAGGAAATTAATGAGTATCACCCTCTCAGGTACCAAAACAAGCTGAGAGCAGACCGGTGCACAGTTTCCCATTCCACGGCAGACCTTTTCATCTTCCTAAGTCCCCCACACAAGGAAGGAAAAGTTACATTTCTCTGATAAAACATTTACGGTCTCACATGCATGTGAGAGCATATTATTCTCACTTTTGTCATCTGTGCTGTCAAATGCATTAGGGCACTACTGCTATTTGTAACAGGGGAGGGGTTGCAGAGCAACTGAGGTGCTATAACATCAATCTGTGGGGTACCTCTAAACAGAAGAGTTTATTCAGTTTTCCCTGTGGATGTTTTGAAGGTTCTCTCATTAAAAAGGCCTTTTGCCATCACCCTCACCTTAAAAATAATGCCACTCCAAACTTGGCAGCAGCATACACACAATGAGGCAGTAGATGAGTCTAAAGATTCAGAGAAGTAAGACAGTATAATAAAAAATAATGAGGCTATGGAAGAAGACTGGGTCACTTTTAAAACTATGCCCGTGGCTATGGATGCACATGGGCAAGTCACTTCCTTTCCCAGACCTTAGCTGTTAAATGCACAGTCCTGGTCTGTGAAATGACTCCCAAGGGACCAGTCATCTCTAAAACTGCACAGTTCTCCATCTAAAGGACACAGAAAAAGTAGAGAGTGACACTCTCCTTGGGTCTCAGTACCCAGAGCCAGAGGGGTACTCACCTGCATCACAGTCACCAGGGGGAGCCTCAAAGGAACAGACTCCCCACATTTGCATCATGATACTCTCCCTGAGTCAGGACTGAGATTCAGTCTGGGCAGAATGATCTAAGGCAAGGTGAGGTATCAGGGCATGCGAGAGAGCCCGGATTTCATTTCAGCAACACTGATCAGACTTCATCTTCGTCCACAAATGGCAAGGTTTTTGGGCAAAGTCCCTCAGCAAGGTTGACAGGCAAAGGACGCTGCTTATCACTGACCCCTCCCTCCACAGTGCAGTTATTAAGGTCCCACAGAAGTGCCTGTGGTGACTCTAGGGCTTAGGGGCTGATGTTGAGAAGAAAGCCCTGCATGTTTAAGGTAAAATCTAAAGAGAATGGCCTGTGCTAGGGAGTCTTTTTCTCCAGCCTTCATCTGTTCTCATCCTTCCACGTGCACAGCACTAGCATCAAGCCAAAAGGACAACATACCTCTTATCTCCCAGAGCTGCCACCAGACTCAAGGTAAGAAGAACACACAACAGAAACAGGTGGGAGGTTCTAGAAATGAGGTTTGCGAGTCCACTAAAAAGATGGGTTTAACTAGAAGACAGCTTTCTTTTTTCCCCAATTTGAACCAGTGGCCCTCAGGACCCCTTCGATAGCCCTAGTAGGGCTCTACATTAAGGACCATTTTCTCTGTATGCATTCCTATTGAACGAGTATTCACTGAGTCCTAATACGTGTAAGCAGGCATGCAGTAAGTTCTAGAGCAGGATATCCTAGCTGGATTCCAGCAGACCCCAGGCACCCACAGTCAAAATGCCAGCCCTTTTGACCCCGACCCCCCAACCAGGATTTACAATCTGCAGCATTCTTCCTCCTCCTGGTTAGGGAACTTGGGGTAAGGTAAACTGAAAGATGCTCTTCCTCAGACACAAAACACACTGGGGAATCCCTTGGCCTCAATAATCTTAACCAGAAATTCACCATCATATAAAAGTTTGGGAAGAAAAAAACAAAACAAGCCTGCTTCCCCTTACAGACCTCACAACAACTGAACTCATCCAACGTGCTTTATTCCTCACTTAGCAAAACTTAGAACAGGCAACTGATTCTTATCAGTGATGCTCCAAGGCAGATCAGCAAACACAGTTGCTGGGCCAAATCTAAACCACCTATTTTTGTAAATAAAGTTTTATTGGCACAAAGCTACAACCATCTGCTTGCATGCTGTCTGTGGCTGATGCAACACTACAATGGCAGAGCTGAGTAGCTGAGATAGAGACTGTATGGCCCACAGTATTTACTATTTATGGCAGAATGTAGGATTGTTCGGCTCTTAACAGCAAAAGTTTGCCAACCCCTGCTACCAAAGTGCTGTGATACACAGCCATTCTGTTGACAAATGTATAAGAGGATGATTTTCAATGTTCCTACCATCTGTGCTCACCTTAAAATCTATTTCTGGGTCCTTACAGCAGGATACACAGTTTACAATTAACACTATTAATAACATTAAACTGCCCACAGATAGGATCACAAAAGATGAGGAAACTTCTGCAGCAGGTGCCTCCCCTGGAAAGAGAAATAGTATTAACAACATGGACATTTCAAAATCAACCTGAATAAGCAAATCAATATATTTTCCATCAAATATAATGGGACCGAGAATTAATGAAATAATGCTTAAATGCTCAAGATAAAGCTGATGACCAATCCAGGATATGAAGTCAGATTTTTAAAAACTTATTTTGAAAAATTTAGATTTACAGAAGAAGAGTTGCAGGGACAATATGGTCCCCATATACCCATCACCCAGCTTCCACTAGCATTAACATCTAACCATGCATGGTACATATATCCAGACTAAGGCAACAACATTGGTTCACTGCCACTAACTGAACTTCAGAGTCATTTGGGCTTAACCAGTTTTCCATTAGTATCCTTTTTCTTTTCTAGGATTCAATCCAAGCCACCAATGCTGAATTTAATCCTCAGCCTACTTAGTCTCTTCTAATCTCTGATGTTTCTTAATCTTTCTTTGTGTTTCATAACTTTGACACTTTGGTTATCTGGTGGGCTGTTCCTCAATTTGAGTTGCCTGGTGTCTTCTCATGATTCGGAAAGAAATCATGAGATTTCTAGATATGTGGGAAGAACCTAGAATACCAATGAGGGAACTGTCCTCAGCACATCACATCACAGTCACATGACATCAGCACGACGCAGTCCTGGTGATGTGAACCTTGGCCACTTGGCAGAAGCCAAGTTCACCATCCTGAAGTTACCACCTTTCCCTTTATGTACTCTGTTCCTTAAAAGTGGGTCACACAGTCCAGTGCACACTCAAGGAGAAAGGAATTAAGCTGTGCTTCCTGGAGGGGGAAGTATTATAGAATTTGTAGACATATGCTAAAACTACTATGGTAATTAATATTTGAGAGAGACACTTTGAAGCTATGCAAATATCCTGGGTCTCCTTAAAGTTTTGCACATTAATTTGCACATCTGTCACTGCGTCTTGCTCCCATCAATTAATGCTGTGATGTTCTGTTTCCCTCATCACTCCTCCACTTATTATTTGGAATCCTCCTCTCAGGAAGATTTGTCCCTTCTCCCTTGCTTATTTACTCCATCATTTTTATAGCTGCATACTCATACCTATAAATACTTATTTTATAGTCTTTGGATTATTGTCTAACATAATCATTATTTTGTGACTGAAACTGTTCCAGCTTTGGGCCCTGGGACTCTCTGAAGTTAACTGCTGGGTCCTCTGGACAAGTGCCATTCTTTTATTTTTTTTCTCCAACACTTCCTCCCTCTACAGGAAGCTCCAGGCTTCTTGTATTTTCCCTAGAGTGGCTTTAAAATCAGTCACTTCTCCTAGGAGTCTTGGTCAGACTGAAGAGCTTTCCTACAGAGCAAGTCTGCAAACTACAGCGTGTGGCTTGTTCTTTGCATGGTGGCAGAAGTTGGGGGTTACCCCAGCAAGAATTTTAAATCACTAAAGGACTGTTTTCAAACAAAACAGAACAAAAAACATGCAAAGACACTGCATGTGAGCCACCACACCTAGAATATTCTATTACCTGACTGTTTACAGAAAAATGTTGCAATTCCTGTCTAGAGCATATTTTTACATCTTTCAGCAAAGACTTAGTTATGTGGAAAACATCTTACTCAGCTTGGGCTATTCTGAATCTTTTCTTTGTTGACCCAAATTGTTAAGTCTCACCTACTGGTGTACTACTAAAAAATAAGTTAGTCCCCACCACAGCTTTATTGAGAAAGAATTGACATATAACATGGTGTAAGTTTAAGGTGTACAACATGATGACTGGATGTATATACTGCGAAATGATTACCACAGTAAAGTTAGAAATAAACTTTTCCTCAAAATCCTCATGGCTAATTATGTGTTCAAACGCATCAAGGGGATAGTATGGTGACAATGAAAGAGGCCACCAATTGTCTTCAGTGGAACTATCGTACCAGAAGAAAATAAAGTCTAACCCAAACTCCTACATGAAAAAACACATTCTTGAATATAAAACAACTTCAGTGAAGAGCAGAAGAGTCTAAGATCAGTTGCAAACAGGACTAAATTCCTTTCAAACAACAAAAGCTCTGTCTGTGGAAGAGCAATGCTGAGACACACATTGTTACAGTGGGGCTCAGACCAGCTGAAGTCTTCCTTAAATCTGTGCCTAAAAATAATATAGTGAAATTACAGACCAATATCCCTGATGAACATAGATGCAAAAATACTCAACAAAATATTAGCAAACCAAATTCAAAAATACATCAAGAGGATCATACACCATGATCAAGTGGGATTCATCTCAGGGATGCAAGGATGGTACAACATTCGAAAATCCATCAACATCAACAAAAAGAAGGACAAAAACCATATGATCATCTCCATAGATTCTGAAAAAGCACTCGACAAAATTCAACATCCATTCATGATAAAAACTCTTTTAACAATACGAGTATAGAAGGCAAGTACCTCAACATAATAAAGGCCATATATGACAAATCCACATCATACTGAACAGCGAGAAGCTGAAAGCTTTTCATCTAAGATCGGGAACAAGACAGTGATGCCTACTCTCTCCACTGTTTTTCAACATAGTACTGGAGGTCCTAGCCACGGCAATTAGACAAAACAAAGAAATACAAGGAATCCAGATTGGTAAAGAAGAAGTCAAACTGTCACTATTTGCAGATGACATGATATTGTACATAGAAAACCCTGAAGACTCCACTCCAAAACTACTAGAACTAATATCGGAATTCAGCAAAGCTGCAGGATACAAAATTAACACACAGAAACCTGTGGCTTTCCTATACACTAACAATGAACCAATAGAAAGAGAAATCAGGAAAACAATTCCATTCACAATAGCTTCAAAAAGAATAAAATACCTAGGAATAAACCTAACCAAGGAAGTGAAAGACCTATATCCTGAAAACTATAAGACACTCTTAAGAGAAATTAAAGAGGACACTAAATGGAAACTCATCCCATGCTCCTGGCTAGAAGAATTAATATCGTCAAAAGGGCAATCCTGTTCAAAGCAATATACAGATTCGATGCAATCCCTAT